AGTATGTACACTGTATATACTAGTTACATACAAAGTTCATACCTACAGGACACGTACTACTTGTATTATGTACCTGGTCCTGGTACATCCTGGATACCAGGCATGAACTGGATACGTACTGAGTCTTAATACATACATACATACATACATACATACATGTGGCATTTTTCTTTGCAGTTCGATCATTTTCATAGTGTATTTGGTAACTGTTTTTAGAGGATGCTCTCTAGGAAACACAACCGTGGCATCCACCCCCCGAGTTTTGAACAAGTCAAGATTGTGTGAAAGCGCCCCCCTGTGGTCGAGTCAGTAAATACACAGCCGGGCGCCAAACACACATCACAGTCTGGAAGTAGGTGGGCCTGCTAGCTAACCGGTCCTCCACCTCGTCGGGCTGCTACATCGCCCGTTGTAACCATGTTTGTTGCTCGTAGTATCGCAGCGGACCACAAAGATCTAATTCACGATGTTTCGTATGATTTTCACGGCCGCAGAATGGCGACCTGCTCCAGTGACCAAAGTGTGAAGGTAGGTGAAGCTCCGGGGCTAGCAGCGTGTTAGCATCACCCACGTTACGGATTCACTATCCCCTCACCATATCAGTTATCTGTTGAAATGACTGATTTGTTTTAGCTAGAAAGACAAACTCTGAGCCCAGTTTGATGTTTTCACTTCGACTTTACATGCTCTTATTTTACTAGCATTAGCTGTATCAAGCTAGGCTAGGTTGTCATAGGTGTGCTTTAACAACAACAAAAGCTGAAACTTTTGAACTGCGGTGTGTAATGTCAGTAGTTTAGTAAGAATGTGCACAGGTAATGGAAATGACAGATAATGTGAACTGTGATCCCTCAGGTTTGGGACAAAAGTGAGAATGGAGAGTGGCTCTGCACAGCCAGCTGGAAGGTAAGCTAGCTGCTCCTGCTGTGTCTGGTTTAACTTTTGGTAATTTGCTTCATTAAGTTTTCCTGTCTTGGTTGCAGACGCACAGTGGATCAGTATGGAGAGTGACCTGGGCCCATCCAGAATTCGGTCAGGTTCTGGCCTCCTGCTCTTTTGACAGAACAGCAGCTGTTTGGGAGGAGATTGTAGGGGAGTCCAATGACAAACAGAGAGGACTGAGCCACTGGGTTTGTAGCGGATCTTTAAACCAGCAGGTTTACGGTTGTCTGACACGAGCTCTGATCACAGTGGTCCTGTTTTAGATAAAGAGAACCACGCTTGTGGACAGCAGAACATCGGTGACRGACGTGAAGTTTGCCCCTAAACACATGGGTCTGATGCTGGCCACCTGCTCCGCGGATGGAGTGGTGCGGATTTACGAGGCTCCAGACGTGATGAACCTGAGCCAGTGGTCCCTGCAGCATGAAATCTCATGCAAGCTCAGCTGCAGCTGCATATCTTGGAATCCTTCCAGGTTAGATGGTATTTTCACTTGGCATACTTTGCATCAAAAGCTGTTGTGACGATGAAATGAAGTGAAAATGTGAAACTGTCAACTTTATTGTAATCCACAACACAACAAGAGTGTTAACATAATTTTTTTTAAAGCATTGCTGGGCAGTTTCTTAATCGTTGCAGCTCTGTTCACATCAGTAAGAAGAAATAAATCATCATGATATTGTGTCACACCTGAAAACCAGCTAACCTGGCAGAGGTCTGCAGAGGACAGGAAGTTAAATGATTGTCCTTGTTCTGGATTTGGTGACTGCATTCCTGTCAAGCCTGCATTTTGCCAAATTGGTTTTGGTCTTTCAGATACTTGTTCTTGTCAATTAACATCCTTTTATTTGCAGTCTACGTCCTTTAGTTGATTTTTTCCTGAGGTTTCAGGATGCTTGGGTGCTATGGTTAATAGTTACAAATCTGTCCATTGGTTTGTTCTGTATTTCCTGGATGGTAGAAAACATTTCTTGGATTTAAACATTAAACATAGACGGGCAGGTGTGTGAGTTTGCTTTTAGATTCCCTAATCCTTGTATTATAAGTTTCTGCTCACTTTCAGTGAGATTGTGGTCTTTACTCTGGGTTAATTCATCATGTTGTCTGTCACACATTCAGTCACGCTTCATGTTAAACGCCCCTGAGTTCTGCTTCGTGCCTCTTCTGGTTCCGTGAAGCTCACTTCATTTCTTTTCTATTATTTGTACTTCAAACTGATCAGATGCGGTGGACCTTAGTGGATATGAGATCAAATGTTTCTCACTGGTTCCAAGAAAATATAGAGATGTAAAACAGGCTTTTCAGTTCAAAAGAAGCTGTCGTGTTGAAATTTGCTGATGTTCCCATGTGGTCAACTTAATACAAGTTGTTGTGTAACTTTTCCAGGATTGTGACAGTTGATGTAAGGTTAATACATGTGTCTCTATGTGTCCCCAGCTCTCGTGCCCACCCTCCAATGTTGGCTGTGGGAAGTGATGACAGCAACACGACCTACGGTGGGAAGGTTCAGATTTATGAATATAATGAAAACACGCGGTAGGTGTTGCTTTCTGAGTGGAGTTTGTGTTCCAGGATCATCCACAGCTGCACCGGTGTAACGTTTAGTTTTTGTTTCACAGGAAGTACAGTAAAGCAGAGACACTGATGACGGTCACTGATGCGGTCCATGACATTTCYTTTGCTCCGAACTTGGGAAGATCTTTTCACGTTCTCGCCATCGCAACAAAAGATGTTAGAATATTTAAACTTGTTCCTTTGAGGTGAGAGTATTTCTTTTCCCTCTAAATATAACAGTTTAAATGCTAGCACGTAGACATACAGCGGGTGAAATACGTATTGAACACGTCACCATTTTTCTCAGTAAATATATTACTAGAGGTGCTAATG